CTCTCCCCTCCTCCTCTTATTTTCACTGCTTTATAAGCTCCCCCATTTCCAAAATAGACCTTTTAGCCTTTTTGATCACAACTCTCTCATAGAGAGCCTAAAAACATGATTGATAGAGACGTTAGGAAGCACTTCTTAAGAGCCACATGTGAAGACGTCTATGGGAAAGCAGCGACTGTCGTTTTATTGCTGCGTAAACCATTTCCTGGGAGGCAGCCCTCACGCTTGGTTTCTTCTGTAGGCTTATTTTGAAGTCTCAACAACATCTTCCTTTGATCTGACCAGCCAGTCGATATTCAGGGCGTGCCAGGCATTTATCTCCGAGCAGAGTATAAAAGGGGACGTGGTGGCTTTCGAACTTACTGGTTCAAAACCTGATTAATTCGGAACAGTTGCAAGTCTGTAAGCGAGCACGGGGTCCCGTGCGGCAAACTGAGGGCTGCACAAGACAAGGAAGCCAGTGAATGCTCAGACGCGCGTTGGCCCCCTCTTCTGTGCCAGGCATGTTCGCACACCGGCCCTTCCAGACGAAGCACGTTTTAAGTGCTGGCCGTTTTCATGTCTGTTATCGGTTACCAGATGAAGGGGTCTGTATGGTCCCTGAGCCATAGCTTCACGGTGGAAGGTAAACTGGGTTGTTGTTGTATTGTTTCCCCCCCCCCTTCACTTCTTGGAATTATGGAAAACCTGAAACACGTAAAGACAAGATAATGAGCCTCATCACCCAGCTTATGGACGGTCCCGTTTTGTCTCTCCCTCCGATCCTGCCCCCCAATGCCTGCCTTGGATAATTTGAAGCCAATCCCAGACCGTTCTGTGATTTCATCTGTAATATTTCAGGACGTTTCTCTAAAAGATGGGGAATGTGTAATAGTTCTGTATAACCCATAACTTAAAAATATCATGTGCAAAACGTAAAAATAATTTGTTCATATCTTGAAGTGTAACATTTCCAAATTATCAAAACACACTCCAGATGCCAAGAAAATTCAATGATAGACACAGATTTTAAAAAACACCCACACGAGAGATCAAGAAAAACACAGGACTTAACATAAAATGTATTATGGAACTACAAAAACATTATTTGTTGTGATATAAATGGCCACCACTCACTCTTTAAAAGAAAAGAGGCTTGGGGCGCCTGGGTGGCTCAGTCGGTTAAGCGTCCGACTTCCACTCAGGTCACGATCTCGCGGTCTGTGAGTTCGAGCCCCACGTCGGGCTCTGGGCTGATGGCTCAGAGCCTGGAGCCTGCTTCCGATTCTATGTCTCCCTCTCTCTCTGCCCCTCCCCCACTCATGCTCTCTCTCTTTCTCTCAAAAATAAACATTAAGAAAAATTTTTTTAAGGAACCAAATAAAAAATCTATAGGCTTCTATTTGACGACCCTACTCCCTTCTCTTTGATGTTGTCCATCACCAAATGCTATTGGTTTTCCTCCACGGTAGGGGCGTGGTTTTATGACGATCCAACCCATTTCTTTAACACATGCTGTGGCTTGCTCTTGGTCACAGCAGCCTTATTGATGCACCAGTCCAAACGTGTATGGAGTCCTTGCATACATGCCAAAGAGCTTCGGACATCTACTTAGAAGGGAGTTAGCGGTCTCAGCAGGCCAGAAACTCAGTATTTCAGACCAGGAACATTTTCTTCCGAAGAAAACTTGGAGATCTGAACCATGGCCATGAAAGGTTGAAAGGCCGGTTCTGCCAGCCCGTTTCTCACCCCTGGGGGTGGCATCACCGAATGTAAGGAGCCGAGAAGCTGAAGCCAAACTTTTCATCCCACACGTGACTTGGGGGTTCGCTTCTAACTCTGACCTGTAATCGCCCCTCCACACACCTGTCTTCTTCTCGTTCTCTTCAGGGCTCACTTTTGAACAGAGCAGAAGGGTTCACTTGGAAGACAGGACAGTGATTCAGAACTTGAAGAATGAAACCCGGAGGGACCAAAGGAGGCATTGCTCCCTCACAGACCATCCCTAGTTTGCCCGTCCCCTGAGGACATAGACTTTGTCTCTCAAGTAGAGCCCTGTGTCTCCCAAAACACACACAGACACACACACACACACACACACACTCACTCCATAGACCTTTTTGTGTTGAGCTTCCTAGCCCTCCACGTCTGATCACGTATCCCTTCTCCAAAATATATCTTAAATACAAAAGAACAAGAAGTTGGGGAGTGCCCAGGGTTCATTAACTCAACAAATACTTACCGAGCCAGAATGATGGGTCACCCCATCCTAGGCACTGGGGACACAACAGTGGGTGAGGTTCAGTTCCTGCTCCAGAGTTGCTTACGTCTAAAGGAGGAGCAGACATGCAGAGAGCAGGCAGCCGCCATATTGGAAAATGGTGATGGGAAGAAGGCAGCAAGGAGATTTTGGAGGAAGGGATGGGGAGACTTCCTGTTTGTTCGCCTTGCTCTTGTGCCCTTCCCTTGAGTTACGGCGCTGTGCGCTGACCCTCTGTGCTGTCGGCAGGGACTCTTCCGGGTGGCGCCGTCTGCCTCCAAGTTGAAGAAGCTAAAAGCCGCCCTGGACTGCTGTGTGGTCGATGTGCAGGAGTACTCAGCAGACCCCCATGCAATTGCAGGTGGGCGCCCACCTCCCCGTAGCAAGGTGCTCCCTTGGGCTGTAGAGGCTCACGGGGAAGGGGTCAGCGTGGAGGGCCTGTGGTCACATGACACTGGGACCAGTGGCTCCCAGCGTGCTTCCGATGTGTCCGCTCAGGCTCGGGTTTAAGCCTGGTTGCTCGGGCCCCTTGAAGAAAGTTCTCCCCAACGTGCCAAGAAAAGACAAGGTGTTGGTGGGAAATAAAAGGGGGAAGCGAGCGTGACTGGAAGCCCAGGTCCCGCCGCCATGCCAGAGCCTCCGATCCGTGCACGTGGGAAACCACATGAGGGTCAGGGAACCCATCCCCACATGTCACCCACATGGGTGATGCCGGCTGGTAGAGCTTGTCTGTGCCAATGGCAAGTGGCTCCTAGCCGATGTTGTCTCTGTGTCCAGGAGCTTTGAAATCTTACCTCCGAGAGTTGCCAGAACCTCTTATGACCTTTGAACTCTATGACGAGTGGATTCAGGCTTCCAAGTGAGTACGCCACATTTTTTGGAGTGTGCTGTGGGTTGGAGTTGATTTAAGTATCTGCTGAAATTATGAAAGCCTATGTATGCCTTACGAAAGCTTATTAGCCTGTGATCTTACGACTCCACTTCTTGGTATATGTCGTGGAGAGATGCTCGAATATGTGCCCAAAGAGGCATGAACAAGGGTGCCAATGACAGTGTTATTTGGGATAATGAAAGCCTAGAAGTTAGTAAAGCCGCATTGGTGGGGAATGTGGGGCATGGCCAAATAAATTATGGTGTATCTGCCCTGTTAACATACTCCGCAGTGCTTAAAAGCTCTGTTTGAGCCACTGCTAGCATGAAAAGATAGGAAGACATACTCTTCAGTGAAATAAAACAGGTTAACGAGGACACGTATGATGTTCTGTTGTTTTAAAAAGGAAAAAAAGCACAACATACTCAAAGCAGTACAGTTTTAGGAGTGCTCCATGTAAGTGTAAATGCATAGAAGGTTCTGGATTGTAGTGCTTCCTTCTGGAGAGAAGAGTACAAAGGAGTGGTCACAGAGCCTTGACTCTTATAATAGTTACATCTATATTAATAACAGCTCATTAATAGCTAATATACGGGTGCCTCAGAGGATTAGTTGATTCAGCGTCCAACTCTTGATTCGGGCTCAGGTCATGATCTCACAGTTTGTGGGATTGAGCCCCACATGGGGCTCCACCCTGACAGCACAGAGCCTGCTTAGGATTCTCTCTCCTTCTCTCACTCTGTCCCGCCCCCAATAATAAACAAATAAACTTAAAAAAAATTGCTAATATAAAAACATAATCTCTGGTCAGTGGGCTGGTCTCTGCTGGGTGCTTGAGAAGGGACATGATTTCTAGAACTCTCTAGTTGTGGGTTTAGTCTCAAAGCACAGCCAGCTTAGCCTGTCGGAAGGATCACTGGAGTATGTTTATGCTTCCTTGGGCCCTGAAAAAAAAACCCACTGGCCGAGAGGTGAAGCCAGGCTCATCTGTGTGGTGTTCTAGAAGGCTGGCTCCAATCAAGTTTCAGAGCGCCATGGTTTTGTTTTTTGTTGTTGTTGTTTTGTTTTTTTTTTCAAGGTGGAGTAGAGACTGTGTATCAGAAAAGCCTGGCCGAGTATCTGGCATGTGTAAACATCTCGCCGTGGAGAGTGGGCGTGAGTTCCGTGACAGTATTAATCACGAGCCATATCTCTGTCCCGTGTTTACGAGGGGCTCGCTGCTGTTATAAGCTCACGATACGCTTTTAACTCATTTGTCACAGTAACCCTTCGAAAGTGGGTTGTGCTGTTTTCCCCAGCTGATGGAGGAGGAAGTCGAGTAGAAGAACAGGTGTATGACGTGTGAGGGCAGGTTCCCTGGCATCTAATAAACGGCGGAATGGGATCCGGTTCAGGAACCCAAGTGCTCATGTCCGGTACTTGCCGCCTCTCTGGGGCCATCCCGTGGTCTTAGGGATGAGGATAAGCGAGACTGTATCCTTCGATGGAAACTGGCCCTTCTATTTCCTGACTGTACATGTGATCTTGATGACATATGAGCTAGAGAAGGGAGGCAGCCAGGCCTTCAGGTTCTAGCCAGGTCTTGGCATCGTCTGCCCTCACCTCTCAGACGCTGAACTGAGAGCTTGAGATGAACCAGACGCTCTGTTGAGCACTTTGTACAGATGCTCCTTTAAACCACTCATGCCAACTCCGGGCAGAAAGTACTCCCATGAGCCCATTTTACAGATTAGGAAAAGTGAGGCCACATAGAGATTCAGTAATGGGCACCAGATTGCGGGCAGGGTGGAGCTGGGTCTTTAACGGCCTCCCTGCACATGACCCTCTTCGTCCAGCCTTTGGTCAGCTTGCGACCAAATATGATCTGTTAACCTTTCCGTTTCTAAATGGGACATTTGGTCTTCAGTTTCCTAGTAGAAGTGTGTTTTGGAGAATGCTTACCTCTTCCTCAGCCTGAAATGAGGGAAAACCATGTTTCTTGCCATGGTCACGATCTGTGGGAAGACCTCCCTGCCTTGGGCCCCAGGCCAAGGGGTCAAAGCTGGGCCCTCACCCTGCTGACATTTTCCCTTTTAATTTTTTTGGAGAAAAGATTCTTTGAGCAGAAAGACCTTCCTCACCATGTAAACCTTGATGTAGATTTTCAGGAGAAGCATATACAAACTGTAGTCCTAGAAGCAATTTCTTTTAATTCTCAGAGGGCTTACAAATAAAGTAAAATAAAATAAAATATAAAGTAAAATAGGATAAAGTAAAATAAAATACAGTAAGAATACCTATCTATCAAGGGAGAGAGAGGGAATCTCAAGCAGGCTCCACACTGTCAGCACAGAGCCCGACACGGAGCTCGAACTCACGAACCGCGAGATCACGTCCTGAGACAAAGTTGGACGCTTAACCGACTGAGCCACCCAGGCGCCCCGATAGTTGGTTTCTTATACCCACATAGTACGATGACTGGTTAATACGATTGCCAGTGAGATTTCATTGCTTCAAGCTCAACCAGTGGCTTTCCCATTTATTTCCCAGTATTCAGGAGCAAGACAAGAGGCTTCAGGCGCTGTGGAATGCTTGTGAAAAATTGCCCAAGGCCAATCACAACAACATCCGGTAAGTGGATGGATCCTGGAGACACGGGATCGGAGTTATTGAGGCCACAGACACTTGGCTTCCCGGCTAATGGTCCTGGTAACTAGCATGCACAGCCTTGTATGGGGTGCCAGGCACGGTTACTTGCACAGGCTCTCTTTCCACCCTCAAACAACCCTGCCATTTTGCAAATGAAGACGCAGAATGAAGGGCACTCTATGACTTTGGCGGCCATTGGCTCAGGCAGTTCAGTTCTTTGATTTGCAAGAAGCAAAGCTCAACGGAACCTATTTTAAGATCTTGTGGTTGCAACAACGTGGAGGGAACTAGAGGGTATTATGCTAAGCGAAATTAGCCAGTCAGAGAAAGAGAACCATCATAGGGCTTCACTCATATGTGGAATTTAAGACACAAAACAGACAACATAAGGAAGGGGTTAAAATATAAAAACAGGGAAGGGGACAAACCATAAGAGACTCTTAAATACAGAGAACAAACTGAGGGTTGCTGGTGGGGCATTGGGTGGGGATGGGCTGCTGGGGAGGGGCATTAAGGAGGCACTTGTGATGAGCACTGGGTGTGATATGTAGGGGATGAATCATTGGATTCTACTCCTGAAATCATTATTGCACTATAGGCTAACTAACTTTGGTGTAAATTAAAAATAAACACTTTAAAAAATTTAAAAAGGGGCGCCTGGGTGGCTCGGTTGAGCGTCCAACTTCGGCTCAGGTTGTGATCTCACAGTTTGTGGGTTCAAGCCCCCCATCAGGCTCTGTGCTGACAGCTCAGAGCCTGGAGCCTGCTTCAGATTCTGTGTCTCCCTCTCTCTCTGCCCCTCCCGCTCTCTCTCTCTCTCTCTCTCTCAAAAATAAATAAACATTAAAAAAAAAAGCCATCACACTTTATACACTGTATGTTAGCCAATTTGACAATAAATTATATTAAAAATAATTTTTTTATTAAAAAAAAGATCTTGTGGGTTTGTCGCAAAGGTAGGTGTTCAGGTGCACCTGTGGGAAGCTGACCAAACGTGGAGCTGGTTGGCAGACGTGTCCTTGAGCTGGTCTGCACGGAGATGGAGACCGGAGAACGTCCTCTGGTGATCTGGCACTTCGCTATTTTCCACACGTCTCTCACTGTTGCTACGCCTCGATTTCACTTCCCGCCGCTCTGCGGATCTTTTCTGCACCTTCACACTCTCTGCTTCCTTATCCCTTTGGCTTGCCAGCAACTTCTCCTGGCCCTGTCACCTCTCCTCAGTGCTTCCCCAGATGCAGATTTTCAGCGTCAGTGCCTGTCTCCATCTGCCTATTTCCGCCTTCCTGTTAAAAATCCCAAGAGCCGACGGTGTGGCGGACCCTTAAAAAAATTAAACATAGAGTTACCATACGATCCAACAGTTCCACGTCTGGGTATATCTGTATGTGCCCAATGGATTATTCGAAAGCTGGGACTCGTTGCTCGCACACTAATGTTCATGACAGCGTTATCCGTAATAGCCAAGAGGTGAAATCAGCCCAAATGTCCGTCGATGGCTAACAAACAGAATATACATGTAATGCAATATTCAGCCTTTTTAGGAAGGGGATTCTGACACGTGCTACTACATGGATAAACCTTGAGAACCTCGTGCTACATGAAAGAAGCCAGACGCAAAAGGACCAATACTGTGTGATTCCACATGTATGTGGTACCTGGAGCCATCACCTTCATGGGGACAGAAAGCAAAGGGGTGTTTGCCAGGGCCTGGGGGAGGGGGATAGGAGCCGGGACGTTAGCGTTCAATGGGGACAGAGATTCTATTCTGGAAGCCACAAAAGGTCTGGAGGATGGTGGTGATGATTGCTTCCCAGTGCAAAAGTACTTAACACTTGAAAATGATCAAGGTGGTAATTTTTTATGTATATTTTACAACACGTACAGGCGCCTGGGTGGCTCGGTTGAGTGTCCGACTCTCGATTTTGGCTCAGCTCATGATCTCACGGTTCGTGGGATCGAGCCCCATGTTGGGCTCAACACTGACAGCACAGAGCCTGCTCGGGATTCTCTCTCTCCCTGTCTCTCTCTGCCCCTCCCCTGCTCACATGTGCCTGCCCTCCCTCCTTCCCTCTCTTTCTCTCTTTCTCTCTCTCTCTCTCTCTCTCTCTCTCTCTCTTTCTCTCTCTCTCTCTCTCAAAATAAGTAAACATTAACAAAAAAATCCCAAGAGCGATCTAACGTATGGCTCCTTCAATAGTTCCTTGCAATAGAAGTCCTATACCGTTGTGTCCTCTTGGTGGGTGCAGTGTCGTGGTTGTTGGTGTGTTTGTAGAGTCCCACAGCTATCACCCCTAGTTTTTAGACTATCTCAATCGCCGCCATTAGTAGCCGCTGTTCCCGTTAGCAGCCACTCCCCATCTCCCCCCAACCCAACCCCCGGCAAACGCTAATCTGCCTTCTCTGTCTCTGCGGAGGTACCTCTCTGGAAACTTCCTCTAGGTGGGCTTACGCAACATGCACAACATGAGGTCTTTCGTGTCTGGCTTTTTTCACGTAGCATCGTGTCCTCAGGGTTCATCCATGTGGTAGCGTGTGTCGGTATTCTGTTCCTTTTCGTGGGTGAATAGTATTCCGTTGTACGGACAGACCACGTTTCATTCATCCGGTCCTCCCTTGCTGGACATTTGGGTGGTCTCCACTTCTTAGCTGACTTAATACTGTGCACACCTGTGCACAAATGCGTATGTGTGGGTGTATTTCTCTTGGGTACATCTCCAGGAGTGAGTACCTGGCTCGTGTGCTAGCTCTGTGTTTAACTTCTTTTTTTTTAATTTTTTTTTAATGTTTTTTATTTATTTTGAGACAGACAGAGCATGAGCAGGAGAGGGGCAGAGAGAGGGAGACACAGAATCCGAAGCAGGCTCCGGGCTCTGAGCCATCAGCACAGAGCCCTAGGCAAGGCTCGAACCCACGAACTGTGAGATCGTGACCTGAGCCGAAGTCGGACGTTCAACCGGCTGAGCCACCCAGGCGCCCCTATGTTTAATTTCTTTTTCCATTAGCTCTGAAAGCCCCCCTGAGGTTAATCCCACCCCTAGCATGTGGAGGTCCCTGCCGGTGACACCTGGACACTTTGCTTCTCACCTCTGCACACAGGGAGGGTGGCAGGCAACTGAGGTTTGAAGAACAAGAGGGACTTTAGGTCACTAGATAACGGAGTCAAAAGGAAAGATGGGGAATTTCTCTGGCCAGGGTTAGGTGATGTAGATGTTGACAGGTAGCCGCGTCCTGGTATATGAGTCTGTCTGTAAAGTATTCTCGTGTCCTCTTCCATGATGTGTCTTCATTATAAGGCGGGGTGTATGAGTCTGGCTGTCGGTAAGATGGGCTGCGGGGGAGAGAAGTGTCTGCCCTGTGCTGGGGGAACACGGCTGGGGCTGAGCCCTGGTTCAACCTGGCCCTTGTGACTCCCTTTCAGATACTTGATCAAATTTTTATCCAAGCTATCAGAATATCAAGATGTGAACAAGATGACTCCCAGCAACATGGCAATTGTGTTAGGCCCCAACTTGCTGTGGCCGCAAGCAGAAGGGTGAGTATAGGGCAGAACACGCGAATGGGTAAGGTATGGGGCGGGTGGCAGAGGGCACGACCGGGGCCCCCAGCATATCATCGGCCTCATTTATTTGCCAAGTTCTATTTCTCTCTTGGCCTGCTCAGGTTTCAGACTCAGGAGGAGACCCAGAATTCTGTAGCTCCTTCTCCATGATGGTCTCAGAGCTACGGGTCTACGGTGAGGGTCTTCTCTGAGCTAATCTGAGTCAGCACCAGGCCAGGCAAACTGTTCCAGGCCTTCCTGACTCTCTCCGAAGAGCGCACATCCCCAGCATCTGGACCTGGGGGATAGAGGGCCGTCTCATAAGAGAGAACAGAGTTGGAAGGCAGACAGTTTTATGTATATTATCCATTGACGTGTCTCTTGTAAGGAGGCCTTTTGTGGTTACCCCGTTCTGAGGAAGGGAAGGAGAGGCTCAGAAAGGTCAAGTGCCCTTGCAAAGAGAAAGCCTACCCTTAGACCTAGGTCTGCAGGCTTCCGGCCCTGGGCTGTGGGGCCAGACGTGCCTCCCCGCCCCTGCCGGTGACCCAGCCCTGCCCCCCTCTGCTCTGCGCTGGCAGGAACATCACGGAGATGATGACCACGGTTTCACTGCAGATTGTCGGGATTGTCGAACCCATCATCCAGCATGCAGACTGGTTCTTCCCTGGAGGTATGTGGCGGCATTGAGGTGTGGGGGTGGAGAAGAACCAGAGTGTTACTGTGGGTGCAAGACTTTATTCTTAAGTTTATTTTAATTATTTTGTGAGAGAGGTAGTGAGCAGGGGAGGGGGTGGAGAGAGACACGGAATCCCAAGCAGGCTCCACACCATCAGCACAGAGCCCGACGTGGGCCTCAGACTCACCAACCGTGAGGTCACAACCTGAGCCCAAATCAAAAGTCAGACGCTCAACCGACTGAGCCACTTAGGCGCCCCCTCGAAACTTTTGAAACCAAAAGTGTTTGTTATTAATGCTCCTACACAAACGCGTGCGCGCGCGCGCACACACACACACACACACTCAGGTAGGGTGTGGACAGTCATGTCAGTGTCTTACTGTCTAATCCTTGGCTAAGTAACAATTGCTGTCCATTGCCTGCACCAACCGTGTCTGTGGATTTTACTGGTCTCACATCCACACCGTGGTGTCTTCACATCTGTGAATTATGAAATGCTGGAGCAGAAAGGAAAGCGAGATCGCCTGCTTTCATAGATGCCGCATAGATCTGAGATGCGCATGAATTTTTATCCAGGGCTCAGCGATCCCCCGGGTGCCATCTTTTTGTTACTCCTTTTGTGTGTCCTTTGAGTTGCCCTCAAAATGTAAAGGTGAGGCTCAAAGGCAATCAGGTTCTTTTTTGGATCCGGTTCAAAATTAGGCTGTAAAGGTGGCACGCTCGGATGATGCTTCATAAATGTTCAAAAAGCAGCATAGCAGAAGGGGATAACTCTGAAGGTAACAGCTTTTGGGAGAGAGCAGTTGCTGTACTAATTTGTTTGTTTTCAAAAGAAAAAAAACACTGTACCTTGTGTTTAGTAAACATTAAGGATGTGCTTTTGGCTATGCTACAGGAAACTGTTTACCTCCTGTGAGGATAGAATGTTAATAATTCTGTGCTCTGTCCATCAGCAGTAATCACTCAGATGATCAACATCGAAGAAGTTTGATGGCGTTGACTTGGTTTTGTGTGTTTTGACCGTGAAGGTTCTTAACTGCTAATGTCCTAAGAGTTCTGTCAATGACATCAAGTTGAGTGAGGGTGGGAAATCGGCATAAAGAAAGAAGGGAATAGGAGTCTAAGGCATAACACTGTAAGTTTGTGGATGAGTGGATTCATTTCTGTTGCAGATAGGAAATGGTGAGGGAAGTTTGGGATATTTCTGATGTCACTTGATCACCAACACCACCTTAGTGACCTTAGTGAAATCTCTGCTTCCAGTCCTTCCTAATTTTTTCTCTTTGGTTTTCCAGAAAGACATCATCATCACTAAAAATAACGATCTTTCCTCTTATTTCATTTCTTGACTTATTCCATTGGCCAGCTTCTCCAACAGTGTTAAGTAACAGTGGTGATTGTAGGCATTGTCCTTTTTCCTGATTTAATTAAGACTGCTCTGGTGTTTCACTTTTAACCATGAGGTTTGAAATGGATGATTTTGTCTTTTTCAGAAAATACCCCAACTGTTCCTTGTTTAAGTTTGGGTTTGTTTTTTTTTTTTTTAATCTTTTTTTACACTTATTTATTTTTGAGAGACAGAACGCAAACAAGGGAGAGGCAGAGTGAGAATAAGACACAGAATCCAAAGCAGGCTCCAGGCTCTGAGCCATCGGCACAGAGCCCAAGGCGGGGCTTGAACTCATGAACCGTGAGATCATGACCTGAGTCGACGTCAGATGCTTAACTGACTGAGCTACCCAGGCACCCCATGTTGTTTTTTAAATCACAAATAGAAATTGCTTTATTAAGTGCCCATCATATTAATGTGAGAGGTGAGCAGTTGTGTGCACCTGCTGATGTGATGAATTATGTTAAGATGAATTCATATCAACAGGTGACCTAACATTGAACCACGAGACAGAGTTTTCTAGGGGTGAAGTGTAGATGAGAGCCCATCTCTGCTCATATCCCTCCTGCCCAGGAAGGGTGTGACGGACCCATAGATCACGTACACCTATTTCTTTCTTCCCCACAGAGATAGAGTTCAACATCACAGGGAATTATGGGAGTCCGGTACACGTGAACCACAACGCCAACTATAGCTCAATGCCCTCCCCAGACATGGACCCCACTGACCGTCGCCAGCCCGAGCAGATCCGCCGGCCCCTCAGCGTCGCCACGGATAATATGATGCTGGAGTTTTACAAAAAAGATGGGTATGACTTAGTGTGCCTTTCTCAGCGTTGGGGGTTGGAGCCGGGAGGGGCCGAGAGGTAACACGGAACCGGATTGCCAGGCAGGGCGCCCTCTCTGGCAGCAATTTAGGGGATTCGTAGCAATCAAGCTGTTGCCTCCTGCTTGAGGTTTTCCTCTGTGCTGTTTAGATTGAGTCCCTTGGCTCGCTTCCCTGGCTTTAGGGGCGAAGGTAAGTGCAACCTTCTGAAATGAGGGTTGTGATCGATACTCATTAGTTATCATCAAAAGAAGGAAAAAAAAGTCGGCCAGCAAGGGGAATTAAAAGATGGGAACACGCTTTATGTTTTGACTCCAAATTTATCAGCGTACGTCAGTTCTCAAATCCTAAACGGTTCCTCGTTGACGATGGCTCTGCTCACCTGCATTGTCCGTCAACGTTCCTGCACGAACAGCGCCTTGAACGCACGCTTTTACGTTTCCAGCCTCGGTCTCTTTAAGACCGAGAGTAAAACCTACAACCTGACGCAATCTGTGTGTCACCTGTCAGTTTCTAAGACTTTTTCCCGTCTCTTATGATGGACGCCTATACCTCCTGATGCCACAGTCCCCGGGGGAGACTCATCAATGCCTTCCGCTTCACTTGCATAGGAATGACCCCCTCCACGCTGCTGTGAAATCAGTTTCCATAACGTGCAACTGCCTCCTAGGATCCCCAAAGCAAATAAAAGGGGCATAAACGTGTTTTCTAACAAGCACGGCTGATTCGCGGTGAGTGTCAGCCACGACCGCAAGGACCGCGCACGGCCGCAAGCCGGGGGCCTCCGCGAAAATATGTCTCGGAGAAGGATTGGGTTGCATCGTCGGTCCAGGGAGTCAGTCAAGTAAACTTCAGTTAAGAACGGAAAGTTGCCGCCATGAAATCAAAGGCAGCAACTGCTCCTTTGAGCCGGACCAGGACTGTAAAGCGTTGGACGGGAATGTCAGAAATTCAGATGACAGAAGCGTAGCAGTCACAACTTCCGTCTCCCCGACAGATCACGAGGCAGCCAGAAAGGCCCGCTTGCTTGAAAGGCATCTGACCTGAAGGGCTACAGACGGAAGGTTGGAAACCAGGAACTGTAGGGGTGCGTGCGTCTTACCACGCGCCCCTCTTGTTTTCAGAGCGGGGACCTAGACCTGTGTCGTGGGATTGACAGAGGCATGCTCAGAAGGGGCCAGGATCCCTGCTTACCTCCTTACCCACCAGACTCTTGCTGTGCATTGTGTCTTGTGTCTTGATTACCTGCTCTGTGTGGTTGGTTGTTCTCCAGCGAAGGGGGAAAGAAAGACTGGGAATTCTTAGATGCTGCAGGGAGTAGGAGAAATTCCTTAAATCTATAAAAAAAAAAAAAAA